CATCTGGCAGAACCGGTGGGCTAGCCAGAACCCACGGGTTTGGGCCCTCCGCTGTGGGTAGGACCGCGCATGTGCTCATGCGGTATGCTAAAGCGCTGAAGTTTCTCCTACTCTTCTATTGTGTTAGATTTCCTGGTGACGCATTAATGCCGCTTATCGCCGTGAGACAAATGAGCTCATTTACAAACTATAGCCGCGACACACTTTTACCGAGTTTCTTTAATGATCGTGTATCTTATGTACTATGGACTTTGTCTTTTATTGAGAGAATAACCAAGTGTTCAATTTTTAAGTAGGTATTATTATAAAAAGACATTTTAAAAATTCACTACCACAATTCGACGAAAGCTTACTGGGCTACGGAGTGAAAGGTATATTTTAAATAGTTTAATTATAAAATAATCTCACCTTTAATTTTCAAAGTATGGGTTTTGCTTGCCCATTTTATGTTTATTTAGTTTTATTTAGAATGTATTGGTAGGGTGCGACACAAAAGAATCAAAATATAGAAAGCGATTGCATGGGCCTGTTTGTCTTAATAATTAGTAAGTAATAAAGGTAACGTTAACAACTCTGTTAATGTGAATAATCAAGTGTGCTGTCATCTTCTCCATTTAAGATAAGATGTTTATAACATTCAGAACTTTAAATTTGTATTACAATTAAAATATGTAGAAAAAGTATGAAAAGATTGTCGCCGCTGTGGGAATGGAACCCACGTCTTCGGTATTCGCCTGACGCTTTAACCATTAAGCTAAACGGCTGATAGCCACACCTTTTTGTACACATTTTAATATTAAATCTTAAGTGCAGAGATTAGCACTATAAACGATTTAAATTTTTATATATTACAATTTGTATCCAGAGTTTATTATTATTATGTTTACCCCATTACCTATTTATATTTTGTTAACGATGCATGTTTGAAAACTTAAAAACATTCCATTCAAACAAATATTTTTTTATGAAATAACAATGAACTCCTAATTTTGGTGCTAGCCTCTGCACTTTGACGAATCTTAAAAATTTATCGCTGCTGCCTGGTTTGGAATTTCCGCCTTGTGTCCACAAGCTTTAGCTACTAAGCTAGCGGTCAATATCCTCACCTCAGAAATCACGTAAGTTTTTTTATCTACACATTTTATATAATCATAAAACTTTAAAAAATGGAATATATAAAATCTATGACTGTGTGACAGTCACATGTGAGGAAACACCTAAAGCTAAAGCTGTTACGTGAAGATTATGTATTTACGTTACAACTTCGTCGAATTAACGCTTAGCGTTATTGGCGTCAGCTGACGATAAACAGACACTTTGGATTCTTTCCACGCGGCGGCAACGCTCGATAAGTTCTACGACGCAAAAAGCTCTTATATTAACATAACTCCCCTAAAGTTAATCAACGACGTCGCTCACGGCGCTGGGGTCACGGGCTCCTCGATTTGAAGATCGAATAAGGCAGTAAATTTCACACATATATAAAGCATAAATTTCAAAGTATAAAGAATCGTCTGAAGATATACATTACACTCGATGTTTAAGGATTTTTATTAATATGAGCAGTCATGAGGGTGAGTCAGAAAACAATATTAATAAAACGTAAGTTTTATAATTTTTTAGAAACAAATAGGTATATTTTCTTTTCTTTCCCCATTTAGAAATACCAAAACTAACAAATATAAAGAAAAAGAAAAATAGAACTACATACTCAAAAAACTTACCATTACATCTGAATACTTGAATAATATGTGAATTCATAATCATAATCACTTTCAAACCAAAAGAAATACTTGAAAATTATTTTTTCCTCGTCACACCAAGTAGGCATTCAAGTTCACTAATTGCAAATACTAGTTATTTGCAATTAGTGAACTAATACGCCTATATATTCTCATTATACGTAGATAATTCAGCTGCTCTTGTGCATATTGCATTATTCTGATACATGTATAGACGTATGTCGAATTGAGCAGATTCCAGATTAATTAACCCTAAGGCCGGAGGCAACTGGAAGTTCATTTCCGCTATCGATGTTTACCACAAAGCTACTGCTGACTCTTAAACATGTTTGATAGTATCACATAATAGTATAAAACAAAGTCGTCCCGCTGTCTGTCTGTGTATGCTATATCTTTAAAACTACGCAACGGATATTGATGCGGTTTTTAAGCTATTGCATAGCTTTTATCGCGGGCTTTCAGTGAGGAGGATTCCGTAACGAAAATAAAACCTAACACCCCCCACTCCGCCTACCATGTAGCTCGGCCGAATGTTCGCTTAACGTGTATGTATATGGTACGACTATACGAAGCTCGCACAGATGGATATTAAAATATGTAGAAAAAGTGCGAAAAGATTGTCGCCGCTGTGGGAATCGAACCCACGTCTTCGGCATTCGCGGACTGACGCTCTAGCCACTGAGCTAAACGGCTGATTACCACACCGACGAAAATCTTAACGCATTCTTCCACATTGTTTTCTTAGCATTTGAAGCAATGCTTGGCGCCATCTATTGTTATATCCTTTACAGCATACAAACAACTTCGAATATCGTTTTACAACGATAATTGGCAACAGATAACAGATGGATATTATAATGTGATACTATATTATCATATAATGATATGATATTTAGAGGTTATCAAGTCTCAAACTTATGTTTCTTACTTCAGTTACCATAAACCTATATTACCTATAGTTTCAATGATAAAATTTCCTGAATCACCTACACGTATTGTAAGATATTAAAAATATTTTAAACAGTATTAAATTCTCAATTATTCAATAAAAGAAAAAATAATTTTCTTATCGGTCACCACGCTCAAAAAGTGTAACTTGAATTAATATTAAAGCCGGCAGCACCTATCACTTATTTAAATTCATCAGCTGACAAGTTTTCTCGCGTCTTAATGATAGCTGATTATATATCTTATAACTGATTTTTTATTAATTACAGCATTACATTAACAATCAGCTTACAAATTTATATGTCGGATAAATTAGGTATTTAATTACATCAGCTGACAAAGCTTCCCTTTATTTAGTGAAAGTTGATAATTACATTTGCAACCGGGATCTGGCACCGTAGATTCTATTTTTACTCTCAAAACGTTGATGGAGGCATATAGGGAGAAAATCAGAGCTATGCAACTGACATTCCTGGCGCTTCAGAAGTCCTTTATCTGTTTGACTCTCTTTACTTTGTATTGGTAGGAATTGCGTTCGAAAAGCGTCCTTGAGGCCTATATTGACATTATCAGAGACATGTGCATGTACAAAGACTCCGCGTCTATAGTTAGTACTAATGGCAAAATCAAACTCTTCCTGATCACCGTAGGGGTACATCAAGGCTCGCTCTTCATCCGTTTATTTTCAGCATAGTGGTAGATTTGATCTCAGTTCACATACAGGAACAGCCTCCATGACTGATGATGTATGCGGATGACATAGCGCTCGTTGACCAGGGCTGGCTAGAACTGGAGCAAAAGTAAATCTCAGGAAGGGTACGCTTGACAAGGGCGATCTAAAACTCAATGTGGTGATATCCGAGTACATGGCTTGCGAGAGTTCGGAATCTAGCACGATCATTTGGATCGTTCTATCAGTTATGTAACGATATAACTATATATTTTTATTTATTTATTTATCTAAACTTTTACACAAAACATTAACATTGTGTGTAGGCGGACTTAATACCTAAGGCATTCTCTACCAGTCAACCTATGGGCGACGCAGAGACAATATATATGGATAAACTCCAAGAGCGACGCCTGCGATGATATCGCCATGTCGCACGCCGGTTGGACAAAACATCCTGGGCGCTTAAGGAAGCGATGGCTGGACGTCATGAAGCAGGTTACGTAAGCCAATGGACTGGCCGCTTAGGATGTTGTAGTTTGTGCAAAGTAGGGGAGTAATATTTATTCTAATATACTTTTCAATTTTATCACTACTACTATAGGGTGAAAAAGATCTTTATTTGGAAATGAAATAAACAGTATTCATCCATAAACATTTATTAATACAATATATCATTTTCATATTCCAATATAAGTTATAGTTTAATACCGTATTCCATGATCAGGAACGTACAATATAAGAAGCTACGTACAGAAGAATCTACTAGGCTGCAATACCATATACCCCCTGTTTGAGAGTCGCGTAGAATACATTAAAGTTCGTTTTATTATTTATAGATTACTTGTATGTTGACACATTTATTTACTTTAACATCTAAGTTGCCAATCGCAAATACAAGTGGCGTTGTTCTAACCAAAGGCTTATTATAGCGTCTTTCACCAAGTTTTCTTTTATCATTAGTCTCTTACATGACTAGAACATTTATTATAGAATTATATTTTTTTTCTATTTTGTTATGATTGCTACTACCTAACGACATAAGTTTACCATCAAATTTAGCTGCTACTCATTTATTTCACTACCTTTAGCTTACTTACTCTACATACATACATTTCAAATAGAAGTTGGTTACTGCCTGCAGAGCGTAGGGTTCAGTGATAAAAAAAGTAAAGAAATGAAAGTACCACGAACCCAATGCTGTGGGCAGTTGTCGGGGTCCGATTGATCAAGCATAACGTCGAGGCATACTGATTGGGCAATAAGGCTGGGTGATTGCCCAACCAGGTAGGCGGACGCTTGTCTCAATCAGACAAAGTAAAGAAACTAAGGAAAGAAAGTGGGACAAAAAAGTGAATGTTAGACGAACGATGTTTCAGATTAATGTGAATTCTTAATTTTGTATAATAGGTCCAAAAATATGCTCTCAGAACTGAAACTCTAGGTCCCTGCATTTAAATAGAACATAGAATTCAGAGCTGATTCGATCCGAATGGAAACACGAAGAGTAGCGATAGACATAAAACAGGTCGGAGAACGCAATGGGTCCGGTGTAATGCAATTGTTGTCGCGTCCGATGGGGCGGCGGTCAAATCGTGGCGGACTTGGCCGCCGCCGCAGGGGAAGCAGAGGGGCATTCAGCCCCACTTTTGGAAGAGCCCCATCCGCTGGCAACGGCAGTTGGAGCCCCAGAGGTTGCACCTGCAGGAGGACGAATGGCAGCAGTCGCCCGGACGGTGGTCACAGTTGCCGCCGCGGCGGATACAGGCGCGCCTGAAAACGTAGATCAGCGACGATCGTCTGAAACCACATCATCGAATACTAGCCTAAGTCCGAGTTCATGCTAGTGCTTCAATGATATACATTTATTGATGAGTTTTATTTATTAAGTGAACTGTAAAACCGATGATCTACAACTAAGTAACAGACTATAAAGCTCCTCATTAAGTAGGGAATACTAATTGGCGGACTTCACATATCTCTGAAATATTTTGTTGTTAATATTTGCAAAATATGCAGGTTTCGGCACATGATTATTCAGCATTTAAAATTAACTATTTAGTTGGTGACGGCCCTGGAATTTTAACTCGGATTTCTTGAGTATATTGAATTAAATTGAGGGCTATTACGGCTGTTGAACGACGATAATTCAAATATGATTAAAAAATAAGCTAATAATGAAGCTAAAATATGGTTCGGTTCTACTAAATTGATTTAAAGTATTAAAATATTCGATAATTGTTTCTTTCGGCGGTTTGTAATGAAATGATCTAGTCAATTCTAACTAAAACTCACTTGCCAACATCCTGCAGGGTTTGCCATCCATTGGGGTCATCGTCGTACTCAGACACGTTCAGCTCAACGTCATCATCGCCTGATGACAATTAGCAAATTGAATTGGCATAAAATTTATTAACATTGATTTTGCAGATATTAATTAAAGAACAAGATCATATGTCCGTAGCCAGGGCCGGATTTAGGGGAGGGCAACCGGGGCAATAGCACAAACGAGGGTCCCCACAATAGAGATTTCGGAAAAAAAATTATAAATTCAGACGAGCAAACAATAGTAAACAACATTACCTTTCATAATTTTGTTTCACGTTTTACTGTTTCCTACAGTACTTTTTACAAACATGATTAAATTAAATATTAACAGAAATCAATAGAAAATAATTTGAGGGCAAGGGGCCTCCACTCCATTGTTGCCCCGAGGCCTCCTGACCCCTAAATGTGGCCCTGTCCGTAGCTATTTAATCAGTAGTATAGAATATGTTCAGAAGTATTGGAAGCGATTAAATTAATAAGCCCGTTTAATTCCGCTTGTGTATATATGTACCAGGATCAATGTAGGTAGCATTAGCTGACTGCAATGCAAGCAAAGCAGCCGCTAGCGCCAGCAAGAAAGCGCCGGCGCGCGGCATATTGCTGAAACTCCACCCGCTGTTAGCCTGCAATTAAATGAAATTTAAATAACCTCCAACGCCTTTAATCAGACGAAGCGGAAAGATACGAGTATAGCCACCACTGGCCACATTTCGAAGCGTGTTGAACACGAAACGTGGAATGTTTCAATTTTCACGTTGTGAATTTTAAACATTTATTTATTTACTAGGATTTGTTTCTATAATATTATGTATAAAGTCTTCTATAATATTATATATTTAATATAATGGCTATATTTATTTCTTTACTACGATTTTTTAAATAATACATAGTCATTAATTAATCTCATATGAAGAGAGTTTATTTGAGTTATAAATAGTTTTTAAACTTAGGTCTCGATGAAAATTATAATTGTAACTTGACGTTACCATGAAATACATCGTTCCCATGTTAGGCATTTACGGTTGATTTCTAGTAATGGAAATTAAATTATTATGTACTTTACTAAAATATAACTTTGAAAGTATTATATAATTAATATTTGTTCAAGTTAAGAAATAAGCATAATAGGTACACTTAGATACTAGATGTGTGTTTAGCTTTACAATAAAGAAATTGAAATTATTACTTGTGCAATGTACATACAAATGTATAAACTTTACTTTTTTGTTACATCATTAAGCATGTCATCGATATTTAGTTAAAATTAAACTCAATAATAATATTAGTTAATACGCTTGTAATACGGTAGTATGTTTAACGCGTACCTTTGACAATCAGCAATGTATGGACATAAATTACGCATACTATTTAGCAAGCAAACAAATTCTTTGTCCATAATCTATAATTAATTGACATTTAATGCGGAATACCCTTACACGCAGTTAACCGCAAGTATTTTGGGCAGAAGAAAGGAAAAATAGCGATTGTTATAACCAACTTTGACCCTCGGTAATTTCATTACCGTCGCTATTTAGGTATGAAATCACTTTTGAGGTTCACTCTGAGGAGGTTCTCGGATTTTTTTTTTACAGATAAAATAGGAAAATTCATGAAATAAATTCGACTCGTGTGTTGCCAGATTCTTAAATGTAATGGCCATATTTACGCATAAAACATTATCATATCTTGCGGAAGATTATGTAAGTGCAGAGGAATAACAAATTTGGTGTCGACGAAAAGTTTGTTTCACGATATTCATATGACATCGCGAAACAAACTTTTTAAAACATTATTTTAACATTTAAAAACTTTATTGTTTTATTTGTAAATGGGTACACTATGATAACGTTTGACAGGTATATTGAATAAAAATAAAGTTTGGGAAATGTACGGTCTAAAACCGCTATCGACGCGTACGGATAGCATGCATGCCATGTATCTTTTTCCAACAGAGCTTAGTTATTGCCGGTAAGCTCGCTTCAGGCGGGCGGTCGTAAATTGATTAGCACTGTGTCCACAGAGCTGGAAGAATAATTGAAAGAGAGAAATCCTATCCAGTTCACGGTTTAGTTAGCGTTTCTAAATTAACTATTGATCACGTTATATCGGCGAGTATAAGACACGAGTATAGTAACAAGTAATAGAATCAAACGGCAAATGTATTGATAATAAGTTAAAATTGATGTTATGTTTAATAACAGCAGTACCTTGTTCGCTTATTTAAAATTTTCTAAAGATACAAGACTTTAATTTTGAAACCAATGAGAGGAAACATTTTAATATAATGATACTAAAGATTGAACTAAAAAAAGTTTCACACTGTTTTTCGGGTTTTCTAGTTAAATAAATTGATTTTAATTAGGATAAAAATGTAAGATAGTGTCTAAATCACACTAAGAAAAAAACAAACAAAAATAAAGGCTAATGTAGCCTTTAGTCAAAAGGAATATATTTTTTTGTTTATTCAATTAAATATACATGAATATATGTAACATTCATTTTAATATGCAATCTTGATTCACGGATCGCTATAAAATACTTTGTAAGTTTGTCCAACTTCTGAAACAAGGTTCATTTAAAACTGTATAAGTGTATTACGGTTTGTGTATTATTTAAACAAAATGAAGAAACTAACGATGCATATTGCTAAAAAAAAAGAACGGCAAAAAATCATGTCTCTTGTATTATTATTGTAATATTAATATTGCTCCACTGTAATATTTTTTATTTATTTTGTTTGTTATAGTGGCAACACAAATTCATCATCTGTAAAAATTTCAACTGTCTAACTATCACGATTCACGAGATACAGCCTGGTGACAGGCGGACAGACAAACGGACTGACAGACAAACAGACAGACTGACAGAGAAACAGACAGACAGACAGCGAAGTCTTAATAATAGGATCCTGTTTTACCCTTTGGGTACGGAACCCTAAAAAGGTGAACAATGACCACAAGAATCGTGTTGCCTTTTATAAAGAGCGGAATTAAACACGTTCCTCCACTCACTAAATTCAAGAAGCTATTCGCCAACAACAAAAGAGACCAACCCCTAAAAAGGCCCGTCCACAGTTAAATCTCTTAAAGTTACGACGCACTGGGCGAGTCTTTTTTGGTTTGCTTAATCGTCGGTATTTTAAGATCTATTTCACAAATATAATTTTCCGTCTGCTAGTTATCGCATTCATTTATGTTGGTTAAAGGAATATTGTTAAATGTAAAGATGTTTTAAGTTTATATTTACCAGAATAACGGATCCTATTTAATCTTCTGTACTATACAACTCAATTAGAGTATTAACCATTGTTTATTGATTACCAGCCTAGACTACACGTAAAAAAAAATGAATCCAAAATAAACAAAACAATCAATCCAATGAACATATTGCCGTAATTTTCTTCCATTAATTCTCTCAATTAATTTGGAAACGCACGTACACTACTGGGAATCCAGCGAAACAAACATTCTGTTTACGAAAATAATATATTTAATGAGGATTAGCTAATGTTTTACCTGCCGTAACAATGTACAATTTAGTAACGTATTCCCTTTTTTTTTATTTTACTAACTGGATTTTTTCATTAACCGAATTATACTAGTAAAAGAGACAAAATGAAAATTACATAATAATATTTAAGATTTTCAATTCCCTTAACCTTATGACAGCTTAATTACACGAAATATTAGGAAGCGAAATGGGTTGACTTTATATAACAGTGTGTGCGATATGCATAAGTAATTAATATTTTTATTAATTTTATCACGTATTTAGTATTATATTTAGATTTTCATGATTTGATTATATTAGGTTTAGTATTTTTAAAAGATTTTTGAATCGGTCAACTTGTTAACATGTTCGGAACTACAATAAAAAGTACAATTATAATGAATTCAATAGTTCCCTTTAGGAAAAAGGCAAACAGATGTAGATAAACTAATTATAGAAAAGTATCGAAAATCAAAACAATTTTTGATATAGGGAAAAATATGGGGCATATGGATGAGACATTTGACCTAAATAATTACGGCACACATTTGACGCAGGTTTCACTTAGAGCAGTGCCTAGCCAACTTTTATTGTTGACCTAATTGGTGCTATAGTTCGACTTTCCCCTTCGAAATTCGCCAAAAGCTACTCGACACAAATGTAGAAGGGGCTTCAGTACTTTAAAAATATTGTTACTGTCCCAATGCACTTGAGTGAGCTTTATCGTAGTTGGTTCAAAGATACATTATGAAAAGACTTTTCCCTTAAATATTGAACTGAATATGGATAATTGGACTTTCTTGCGATACCTTTATTCAATACAATGCGTTTTAGCTGATTTTTTTATATATAAATATAATTAATTTTATTATACAAACATATGTACGAAATTCCTCCACTTTTTTTGTGATATTATAACGAGATTATTTAAAGTTGAAAATATCTACATGTCAATGGTTCGCGAAGACTGGCATAGCTTTTGTGAATAGAATAACCAACAATAATTTGCCAATTATAATGAAAGATTTGAAAAAGTATTCTTTTTTTAAATATTATTTCAACCATCATTACTTAACTAGCTATTAAAGTAATATCATGACTTACAAGCATATTAGGTTCATTGCATTTAGTAAGGTACTTATACCGCTATAATTCTGTACTGGTTAATAAAATCGAAATCAATCAAAAAGCGGTGTTTATTTTTCTTAATTTTTTCAGGACTGCGACTCTTCCCTGATTCTCAATAATTCGGGAATAAAAAAGTATGAAGAATTTTGACGTATTTTACGTTGAAGAAATTAAATTTATAGATGCACATCGATTTAAATAAATAACATTTTAAGACTGACAAAAGTTCTTACTTATATTCCAATTTAATTAAATTCCTTAACCCTAAAAATGGAAGATTTTTTTTCGTTGCTATATTTTATTTTATTGACCTGAGTACATTCACAGAGACAAGCTTGTCTATGAATGTTCTTTTAGTATAGACACTCTCTAGATTTATTTGTTTCATTAGATTTAAGTCTAAATATAAAAATGTAGGCGAACAATAAACCACCAAATTCATGGAATACAAGTTCATGAAATTTACAACTCTATATATGCACAACACACCTTTTAAATGGAATGAGTTAATATTTCACGGTCGTAATATCGCTATGAAAGCATTTTACTTCGACCTTGTTTAAGTATATGTAGAACGTCTCCAATGGCATTGTAATAATGACTGTTTTTTCCTATAATAGAAAGACAATATCGAATCCCATATTAAAGGTGGCTTCAAACGATTGCCTTCATTGTCTTCACTTTTCAAGTATCATTTTTTTACGAGTGTAGTAAAATACAATCGATTAGCCGCGAAGGAGGACTAAGTGGATTAGATGTTATCGGACTTATATAGTGCGTATTCACAATGAACATTAATACAGGGCGATTCTTTTAATTGAATTGAACTTGTTGTATACAACAGACATTTATAACAGACTTTACGGCTATTTATATATCAATCTAAATTAACGGCTATTTAGTCCGTCTGATGTACGTCTGTTGTATATTAATTGTAATAAAGTGTCAACAAAATTGTATTAATACACAATTTTTTTAATAATGTAATATATTATTTATTGTATGTAATACATAACACATTATGTTCCCTACGCTATATATTAAACTATCCGTATGTTTTAAGGCCACAAACCAAAGGTTTGGTAAAATTATTACAAGTCAACGCTGGTTGACTTTATTATCAGACTAATTTGTTTTTCATTCTTATTATAAATATATTTACATTAAGAATCTTGCATTAAGATTACAATAAATATTGCTTTCGATCACATTTGGAAGCTTAGAAACTTAAAGCTTTACAATTTACCGCACTAATATATATTACACAAAATATATGGTTTAACCACAAGTTGACCTGAAAATTTGTATTTAAAACATTCAAAACTCAAGCATACACTGTTTGTGTATTTTGATTATGTAACAATGAACCGTTGTATGAATGACATTTATGCCAGTCACGGTATTTCCTATCCAAACGTAAACATAGGGAATGGAATGCTTGTAAAATTCAAACATTTTAAATCTTTCAAAGCGTAGGCATGCGTTTTAGATGACGTCAAAAGCGAATTTAAGAGACGATTAAGCAAAATTGAGATATATAAACAGAAAAATTTAGAAGTATTATCTTAAATTTACTCCGCGAAACATTTCGCCCCTGTAATGTGGAATTTCGAAAACGACGCTAATCTTGTTCTAATTTCGCATGTCACGATGTTGGCATGAGTGTAACCCCGTCGGAAATTATTACACCGCAATTCCGCCGCCCTCCTGAGAATTGTAAATTTGTAAGGAGAATATATTACGTTCGAACACAGCGGCCGTCATCAGGAATTTGGCTTATCAAAAGTTATACATACAAATATATTTCGTTAATCATCAAGTACAAATGCATTTTATTTTATAACTCGCAAACTTTCAATAAATGTGTTTTATTTTTACATATATACTTTGGCTCGTGCTTATAAATAACAGTACTGGCCTCATTCACTGACCCCTCTTTTGAAACAGCTGGCATTAATAACGAGTTAATAATACATTTTATCATTTACTTCCACGGAAATGTTTGTTGCAAAAATTTAACAAGTTTAAATTGAATTAATGTATTTTGAAAATGTCTGTATTTAAAATAAAAAAGAATTACATTTTTTTTTTCAAAACTTTTATCAAATATGACAATATCGTTTTTAAACAACACCAAGCCAAGCCTGTCATGCAAAATTTTCAAAGAAGAAAATAGGACTGATGAAAAACAAATTTGCTCCACGAAATTTTCCAAAGCCCATTAGCATTGTAAATTTGATACAGCGTGAAATGCTGCAGAATATTAAAGGACGCTGCTTAACTTACACGGGGCAGAACCACACAACTTGTTTTCGACTCACCGCTCGCGATCCGCACTTAACACGGCTACGAAAACGATAATGGTAGGGGATTTCTGAATACGTACGCGCGCGCTCGTAATGTTTCCGTGAGGTAGGGACGCCACCCCGACTGTCCGGGAGGCGATTCGTAGCACGAGTGACTGCCGTAGCGTCGCGGCAGCCCTTATACCGACTCCCGAAGCGAAAGCAGTGGGCGGAACTTCATAGAGCTGTAAATCCCAAAATTAAAAATTCTCTTCCCAGTTTTTAATTCACATCCACGATGATGGATGTAAATTTTTATTTCGTTGTAAGCAAATATGTGGTGATTTTACTTGCTTATTGTGATAATCTCCACGAATAATCCACTCACCTGAGGAAGACACTGACCACTCAAGCGATCTTGAAGTAACATGAGTTCAAATTTTTTTGTGCAAAAAAAATATTAGCTTGCTGGTGTTTTATATGTGTAACAATAAAAAGTTTAAAGTGGTTTTATTTTAAATTTTCTTAGAAAAAGAAATTTTTCCTAAAATATGTGTATAAATAATTAAGTGTAGTATGGGGGGATATGAACTCTACAGTTATCCCTAGAGTGCTGTCTCTGTCGCACTACTGCGGGTTGTCAACAAAATGTTATTAGTCGTCATCTGCGCCGTCGCTCTTCGCTCGGTTACTGGTCTAGTAGGAAAAATGCTCGAGCAAACGCGCCGAGCGGAAAACTCTGAGCAAACACATTCAAATGTCCCCCAGCAAGGACGGAAACGGCAAACTACAGTTTTATACGAGAAGTAGGGGATACAACTTTCATACATTTATATTGCTTATTGAACGAGATATTTCTGATACAGTCCAACTTTGGTGCGTTGTTTTTTTGTCTGACTTTTTTCGAAGAATCACTATAATGATGCTTAATAAGTTGGTCTTGTTGCCGTCAACAGTAAGAGCTATAATAAATATTGTCATTGTAACATCTTTTTGTATATTCGATATTAACTGGAGGCGCAATAAGCTTGGAAACAAGATGATCGGTAAATATTCCAAGAGCTTTTATGAAAAAGCTCTTGTGGAAACTTAAAGTAAATTTATGTTGTTTAAATTTCATTTTCATTCTCTCGTGCTCTCTGGAGTGAGTCGGTTGTGTCGCTTTGTGGTATTGCTTCGTTCTCAATACGTGCGTGTGAGTAAGACGCCTTATCACAATTTTGTACAAAGTAAGCGTGCTAAACTTGCACAGAGTAGTGAACCAAGCAGAGTGTTTAATATAATTTATTTAAAATTAAACTCAATCAAGGTAACTCATCGAAATCTGAAATTATGAGTGTAGATGGATCACTGAATGATAAAGAATCGCCACCAACATATATAACATTTCGAAAAGGTGCCGGAAACAATAGTGATACTTTTCGGGAAGAATTCAAAACCTTTCAAAGTACGATGTTGAACATGCTTGAATCTTGGTTTACAAAACAAGATAAAAAGTTTTCTTTCCTTATTTCGGAGTTTGAAACCGTGAAAACATCAATACAGTTTATGAGTGATAAATATGATGATCTTGAAAAGAAAACTTATGATATTAATAATCGTTTGACGGAGATTGAAAGTAAGCTTCATTCTGCACAACCAAGTGAACCGCGGCTTGACGTTTTGGAAGCAAAATTGGAAGTCATGGAGCAAAAATCTCGAAATTGTAATATTGAGATAAGTAATTTGCCAGAAGAACGCGGGGAAAACTTATTAAATGTATTGGAGAATATTGGCAGCATTATCAAGCACCCCCTCTGCGCCCGTGACATCGTCGAAATTCATAGAGTTCTTCAAATGTACCCTACAAGAGGCCCAAAAATATAGTTGTAAAGTTCACCAGCCAAATACAGCGCGATAATTTTATTGCAGCGGTTCGTCTCAAGAAAGGTATCACGTCTAATGAACTGAACATGCAAGGAACTACTCATAAAATATTCATTAATGAACATCTTACCATACAAAATAAGAAATTATTTCGTCAAGCCCGGAGTATTTCTAAGGAACATGGCTACAGATTTGTTTGGGTTAAGAATGGAGTGGTACTTATCCGAAAGGATGTCACAACTTATAAAAAAAAATATTACTAAAAATTAATTATTAAAATAAATTAATTACGTCATAAATTACTTCTGGACAAGATAGCATATAATGGCATTCGTGGAAATTTACTGCGGTGGTTTTCGTCATACATATTTCGAAGGACGCAGAAAATCGTTATTAATGGCTTTGAATCAGATTATATATTTGTTCCTTCTGGGGTACCACAAGGATCTATCTTAGGGCCTCTTTATTCTCTTTTTTCTATTCATCAATGATCTTAAATTTTGTTTTCTTCATTCAAAGTTTTTAATGTACGCCGACGATATCAAAATTTACAAGACATGTCGAACTCTCGAGGATTGCATATTTCTTCAGGAAGATCTGAACAGATTTTCTAGTTACTTTCTAGAAAATAAATTGAACCTAAGTCTACCCAAATGTAAAATGATATCTTTTACAAAAAAGAAAAATTTACTTAGTTTCAATTACTTTATTAATGATGTACCCTTAGAAAGGGTTAACTTCATTAGAGATCTTGGTGTGACTCTAGATTCAAAGCTGCACTTTAATATACACATTGATAATATTATTAATAATGCTTTTAGGTTGTTTGGATTTGTTATGCATTCGACCGACGACTTTAAGCGTCCTTCGACTTTCCTTGGTTACCTTGGTTCGTTCTCAATTAGAATTTGCTGTTCCAATATGGAATCCCTACTATGAAAAATACATTTCAAGAATAGAGATTGTACAAAAAAAATTCTTACGCACTATGCACTTTAAATGTTTTCACGCTAGGCTTTCTTATGTACAATTATTAGAAAAGTATGAGTTATTGAGTTTGGAGTCCAGGCGCATTCCTGCTATGGCTATGTTGTTATATGGATTATGTAATAATAAATTCGACTGTATGGAGCTTACTAACAGGATTGCTTACATTGTACCAAGAAGAGTTACCATACGCGATGCACGCGTGCCCCGATTGTTCTACACTGAAAAGTGTAGAACAAATGCTGGGCAGCGAGCACCGCTTCATAGAGCGCTAGATGTATATAACTCTAAATTTATGAATTGTGATTTGTTTTCACTTTCCCAAAATCTATTTAAAAGAATGGTTACACTAATACTTAAAAAATAATATGCAAATTAGGCTAGGAACCGACTTACTCTTTTTATTTTATTTAACTTAATATTATTTTGTGGACATTGGTGTGGGTTATACGTTTAGTTTAATAATTAGAAATTCCATTTTATGTATAATTGTTAATGTATAACTGTTTTATGTCCTAATAAATAAAAAAAAATTAAATTATGTTTTAAACATTATAAAGTAACAATATACTATATATATATTATAAACTAGCTGCTGCCCGCGACTACGTCTACGTAGAATAGGCTGAAGGAGTAAAATTCAGACAGAAAGACAGATATACATAAAATATGTATATAAATTATATAATTTATATACATATTTTATGTATATCTATATAGGCTATCCTATGTCTTATTCTGATGTATAAGCTATGTGCACACGTGTTACAAACTTTCGCCTTTACAATATTTGTATGGAAGTAAGGATTTCACAAGTACTTCCGCCAACCAATGTGCAATTAAGAGAAATAAAGCTTTTATCCTTCCATTTTTGAAATATTTTATACATTTACTACTATATGTAATAGTATATACAATTAATATGAAGACTAAATAAATAAATAAATTATTTATTTATATTTATTTATTTATTTAATATGAAGACTTAAAAATTCTCAAAAAAAAACCGAGCTTAAACTCTCTGACGTAAGGTTACGTATTCACGTACATATACACATACATACAAAGTCTTATTTCAGGCGAAGCTTATAAAAACCATAACTTACCCGATACTGCTAGGTGGGGTGGTTTATTGAGGAAAGGCAGCTGGGTGCGACGAATTGCACCTAAGTTTGTGGCAATAGCTTTATATTTTTATTACTCTGACAAATAGCTACACTTTAAAATTCTGCTGGAGTTCGGTGACTTTGAAATAGTGTGTATTGGCCAGTGGGCCCTTTTATTTGATGCAGTTATGATAATGGAACTTTCCAACTGATTTCTTCACTTTCAAGCTTTTCACTTTCACTTTCAAACTTTCAAACTTTCCAACTGATTCAGACAGCTGCCATATTCAAATATAATCATAGACTTACTATGATTATTGACTTTTCGTTCCTCAGGTTACAAAATCTAGACTAAAAATGGTTGACATACGTAGAGTATAAGTTAACTTAAACTTATATTCTATACTACGTCATTATGTATAAATACAATATGACAGAACTAACTAAAATCTCGCATAATAAGGTATTTTAGCTGGGATTCTAATAACCATTCTAATATTACTCTTACCTAAAGAGAAACTAAGCGAACTCTACAAATTGTCAGATCAGTTTCTAGCTGGGCATGAATTTCACAGTGGTTAAAGGGACCTCCGATAAATGTCCTGATTTACTTCCCATACCCGAGAAATTTTAATTACCTGAAGTACACCCAGTTGTAAGTAAGGGCGTCGAATATGTCTGGTTGAATCACGTTGTTTATAAAGAGATGGCAGCGGCAGTTACGTTAAATTATTATTAATAAATAATATTAAAATAGAGCGTCGTGATAGCTCAGTGTCCGGTAGCCCGCGTTTAATTCAATATACAATATATATATATAATATTCGAGCAATTAGAGTTCAAATCGCGGTGCCAGCACCAATGAAATTGTCAATTTAAAGTGCTCAATTATCACGTTCTCAGCGGTGAAGTTAATGCATATTTAAAAAAAAAATATTTCAAAGATATACGTATGTGAAGATCAGTGGGACGTCATAGTGGGGTAGCGTGGGTAATACCTTCTGTACATTCCAATGTCCAGACTTGGAGGCCTTTGCCCCCACTGCTGGGAAAAGCCTCCAGGTCTTGTACAAAAGGCTTGTACTTATCTTTACTTTAATATTCAAATTTATTAATGATTCTAATAAATATAAGAATATATTCAGTAAATTGAACATCCTAAAAATCATTAAAGTAACCGTTTCAGTGCTTTGTGTGAATGTTCGTTGAATGAATACATTTCCTTTCATCGCCGCATTCATTACAAATCGATAAGGAAATCTCCGTACAACGCTCTTTTCTGTGGGATACAATTTCTATTATTTGGTGGAGTACAACGCAATGCTATACGTAATATATAATTCATAAAATTAATTAGTACAAGCAAGGTCATTATGGTGTTAGTAACTCATTCTGAAGAAGTGCCAATTATAAAGATTATATAAATAAATAAAAATTTTAGGATACATTTTTACAGAACATTTTCTAGTCC